TTATTGTAGTTCCTATTTGGTTCCTATTTGCTTCCTATTTGGTTCCGATCTGTAGCTTATTGTAGCTTTCTATTTAGCTTTTCTATTTAGCATTAAGCTTTATTCATAAGCATTTAGGTTTAAATTTGTCAATGAAGAAGGTCTAGCAGTTTGGATATGTATGAATGACAGATTTATTTTTAGATTTGTAGAGATTAGTACAGACAGTACTTTATACATTACAGTAGTTACAGACAGTACAGTAGTTACAGACAGTACAGTACTTTATACAGTACAGTAGTTACAGACAGTACAAGTACAAAAGTACAGGTTTAGATAGGTTTCAAATCAAGTTTAGATGTACTAACAGTCTCAAAAACGTCACAGAAAAGATTGGTTGAGCAATGGTTTGTTGAGAGGAAAAAAAGATGGAATTTGATCGGTTTTGAATTGGGAAAGAATGAGTAAGAAAAGAGGAAAGAAAGGTTCGATGAAGACAAAGGAATGGATTGTTGACGGGTGGAAGAACGGGGGGAAAGGAGGGGAAGGAGGGGAAGGAGGGGAAGGAGGGGAAGGAGGGGAAAGGAGAGATCATCCCCTTTCATCATTCTCGGAAATGGGTTCGCATACCCATTTCTCATTTTTAAGATCATAGCTTAAACTTGAGTCTTGAGTCTTGTGAGTAAAGAAATTCCTGAATCTTATGCGTTCAAGCATACTACCTTAGTACATTTAAACTCATTTACACAAGTATTTGAAGATCTATGAATCTGTAGAGAAAAGGAACCAAATTTGTAAATGGAACCAAATCTGTACCGAAAAGGAACCAAATCTGTAGAAAAAAGGAGCCAAATTTGTAAATGGAACCAAATCTCTAGAGAAAAGGAACCAACTCTGTACCGAAAAGGAACCAAATCTGTATAGAAAAGGAACCAAATCGGTATAAAAAAGAAATCAAATCTGTAGCCAGTTATTCTAGCCAATTATCGACAAATATTCTCATCCTCATTTTCCCATCAACTATTGTCAGTCCTACACTTGTCAACGCAAAAACTTGATCTCAAAACAGTCAACTAGATAAAATCAGAAGATCGATTGCCATTGGGGCAAAATTCTTGAAGAGTATTTGATTGTTGGGTAAATTGGAGAAAATTGGGTGCCAAATTAGCATCGGAAGTGATGGAAGTGGTTGATATGGGAAAGGGGGAGAGATGGGTGCTTGAGCAGGGGTGTCAATGGAGGCGATGATGGGCACCCTAGAGAGACCGGAACTCTCGACCACCCCTACCCATCCCTGAAAAGATATCTCTCAAGGGGGTGATCGTCTTCTTCTTCTTCTTCTTCTTCTTGGCTTCTTTTCCATTCTCTTTGTCTTTTCGATGAGTGAGAAGGGGTATCGTCTAGGGACGCGCCGATTCTTCCGCTTTTCCGCGTGATCCTCTTTGGTCATCAATCTTCAAAATTTGAATTTCAATTTTCTGTGCTTCCTTCGGATAAATGGGTAAACAAAGGAAGCATTTCAAAAATGGCTATTGCTAAAAGTAATACAAGTGTTAAGTGAAAGAGTATAGAGCACTGAGAAGTACAGTAATCTTGGTACAAGGACAATTAAGCAAATAAAGTACTGTAGCAAATAAAGTACTGTAACTTTGGAAGAGGATACTGTAGCTACTGGGAAAGAACTCTTCTAGATAACCTTTTCGAATCTGATACAATAAGCCTATGAAATAGATTTCAGTGTATTACATACAAGATAAGGACTCTATTCTACTCTAGATAGCTAATTGTTGAACTTTAGTAATAAGAAGATCGTTGATACTAAATGGTAAAGTACAAATATTTAAAAATATAGGGCATGTGCCTACCCAACTTTTTTTTTTACATAAAACTAAAACTTCCAATAAAACGAGCCAAGAACCTGTACCTTTAAAGACTCTAAAAAGCCTTTGTCGCCCCATAAACCCAAGTGAAAGTCATACTAAATACTGAAAGAACAAGAAAATGACTGTATTGATGATCGATGTGATGATAGTTGAAAATGATCGTCAGAGAAAGACGAAGAAATCAATCTCTCGAAGCACTCGAGTGTGAAATGGGCTAACGACGTGAGTCCTCGATTGGGACAACGGGGTTGGGGAAAAAATGGGAATGAGAGGGTTCGTCCTTGGTGTTTTTTTTGTTTCCCCACTTTCTCGAAGATTTCAATGCTCTAACTGAAACAGAGGGATTGAGGAGTCTCTTCTGAATGGTCACCGACTTTGTGGCGCCATGGGAATGAGTTCGATATCCATATGGGATTTGGTCGTAAATTTTTTTGAAAACGTCTATGGGTTCACACGTGTCATCAATGGATTATGCAATTAGATGAACGGAAGGAAATAGGGTTGGGCTGGATTAGGTACAGTACTACCGTGGCACCGTACTACTTCTAGATCTGTTTCTAAATCTTCAAGTTCTAGGTCTTCTGGTCTTGGCTAAAAATACGATAGTAAGAGAGAAAAACAATGACTTGGCTTATTGTAAGTGGTACAATAGCTTGGCCTAAAGACATAGTAGTGAGATTGGATACAGTGTGGAAACCAGCAATTGTATATACAATGGATTGGGTTAAGTATAGTAATTAACTAGATACAGTAAGTTCAATATGTACAGTATTTTGGTCTTAAGTTGGCATCTATTTTGCAAGTATTCTAACGTCAAAAATCTTACAATAACAAGGGTTGGCCTATTGTTTTTGACTACAATAATGTGGCTTACTATTGGGATAACGTGGTCTATAACTTACTTACCAATATGGAGAACCTTTCTGTATATCTAGTTTTTTTGAAATCTATTGAAAGCGATTGAACTCAAACAATTCAGGAAACGAAACACATTCCATTACCTTTGCTCTAATGTCCATGAATCCCGTTCGAACACTAAATGTAAAGCGGTCAAAATTTGCATGAAAAAAAGTGCCGAAAAGAAAAGTGGATGACTCTCGAGAGATTCGAATAAAAGTGGTACTTGGGAAAAGGAAAAATAACAGAGGGAGATCAACCTTGTGAAATGAAAAGAAAGGAGATTCACGGATACGATTGCATTCTCAGATTGGGATTTAGGCTCTCAAAATGGAAATTTCTTGTAGGTTCGATGATTTCAAGAAAAAAAGTCATGGGAATGTAATTTGTAGAAATTTTTTGTTGTTGGAGTTGTAATGTAAATGTAAAATTGTTAGAGTCTACCGTAACCCGTGCAATAGAACGGATTGCCCTACAAGTATTACGGTAAGTAGCCAACTTTTAGAAACCTATTCAAAAACCGATTACTCGAGTTGTATAAATGGGAGCTTTAAACTTTTTTTGTATGTCAATCCTGAGTTTCGGAGGTGGGTTTTTTTGAAAATTGGGTCTAACAACCCAGGACTTTGTCATCGTCTATTCAACAAGGTGCACTGCAAAAGAGTGAATGCCAATTTGGGGATTATCGAATGTTCTGCGAAAAAGGGAGAGAAATTGAGGGGTTTTCGAAAAAAAAGGAGAGGGTGTTGACACAAAAAGAGGCAGTCACATTGGAAGGGGAGAAATTGGTGAGGTCAACCGGAATAAAAACGAAACATTTCCTTTCACTTTGCAACCAAATCTATACAAATCTATTAGGGTGTTAGGTTTAGAGTGGTGTGAATGAGATCAACAACATTTGGATGAGAGATTAATGAATGGGGATCGGAGTTTAATACTTACTCATGTAAAAAGAGTAGTCATTTTTGAATAATCCGCTTTTAAAACGTGCCAATCTTCAAAAACTACAAAACTAGAGCTAAGGTAAGAGTAGTTTTCAGAAATTGACGCGTTTTAGGAAAAGCATGAAGAGAGAAACAAACTCTAATCACTTAATTGCATATGGTCAAACTAAAGTAACAGTTGAAAACTTAGATTGAATAGGCATTAGACATGTATTTACCTGTTATCAGGATCGGATAGATCATGCTTGAAAATCAAAATACACAATGAAAAGGTGCAAAAGCAAAAAAAAGTCCTGCCCTAGGAACAGTTGTGAAATTTGTGACTCCTTATCGATTACCTAAACAACAATCTTTTTGAGTTTTCTTTTGCACCTCATCTAACCATTTCCTATAGATAAAGGAGGGTAAACGATTTAATTGCAAGTCGAGAAAAGCGAAAAGATGAAAAGACAAGAAAGGTGTGCATATTTCCCAAGAAGCTGTAAATCTGGCGGCGCGCTTTTGATTTCACCAACCACAGAAACACAACTGATAGCCTCGACAAACAAATTACGCACACTTGCCCTTATGGCCTAAAGAGAGGTCCGTGAAAACCGTTCGGGGATGTTAGCAGTGAAATAAAATTGAGAGAAATTAAACATATGCAAGTTAACAGCTTGGTTACAACTTTTGAGACACAAACTACCGTAGTTTATCTTTGAAAGTATGATTTTATATAAAGCACCAACGCTTCCGTAGCTGAAACATGCTGTAGATACTGGGGTAGGCTAATTTCTGCCATTTTATTTGTAGATCTCAATATGTGCAACAAAATGACACCAAAATCATAAAGATTGGACCACTTAGAAGAAAATTATGGCGATTTGCGCAAATAAAATGGCGGAAATTAGCCTTCCGGGAAATTAGCCTTACTTTAATAGAAGCCCCCTCATATAGGTTTCATCACTTTTCAATCATTTTGTTCTAGGCGCTGGTTAATGTTTGAAATATGTGTTATATATCGAAAAATCACCCACCCTCTCTACTTTAGTTTGATACCTAAGCGCGCAGAAACAAACGTGCTGGTGTTGAGATATGAGCGTTTGTTTAAGGGTAAACTTAGACTACGCGACGCTCCCATAGGGGCCGTTCTATTAGGGTTTTTACGGTAAGCATGCTTTTGCGCAAAATTTTCTTTTTTCCGCACAAACCATTTGAGACTCTCGGAAATTTCGATCATTACATTGGTTTTTTAACTTGCATACACTTCTTTGTCTTTTTAGTTATCAATAACTGTCAACAACGAATTTATTACGCCATGACGCCTCCGGTAAAGGCTTTCGGTTCAACTATCGGAAATTGGTAGTTTCCTTTAGACTTTGGCACCTTTATACCTGATGAAGGTGGGAGAAGCTACCTTATGTTTGAAGAATCACTTGGTTTTATGGTAGGTTTTATATTTATTGGCGGAGTTCATTAAATTTTAGTGGGATCGCCAAACAGCTGCGACATCAACTCTACATGGCTGGTCTTTCTCTTGGGGAGGATCACTATGTGCGCGAATTTGCGACACGTGAACAAGTTAGACAATGCTTGATTTCCGTTTAATTAACTGATCTTTAGGCAAGTGTTTTCATTCAAAATTCATCAGCAAAGAAATCGGTATTTGTGGTCATTGATGATAATAGTAAGGTTACTCATTTGTTTTTGTTCATTTTTGTTTTAGTTGTCGTCAATCGTCATGCAGGAGCTGAGTACCCACAGCCAAATATACTCTACTTCACTGGATCCTTCATGGCAAAGGATATTGTCTTTGGAGTTGGACAACAATTCAGGTAGATGGATTTTATTTCGATTTAATTCGTATGTGCACTGTTAGGTCACGTTGCGATGAGTTTGCCAAGCGTTTGATCGAAGAAGATAACTTATTTGCGGTTGCTTCAAAAGATATTACTATGCGGTAAGTTACAGTTGTTAAAGAAATGTATGTTTTTTTAAAGAGGCGAGGGTCATCCAGCTTGTACATCCGTTCACTCTAAGACTTCAAAAATCGAATCAGGCAATGCGGTAATCAGTTTTGGCTATCGCCTATACATTTAAGCCAATTTTAGTACGTCACTTCTTCAAAAACTGTGGTGTCAAAAGAGGAAAAGGGTTTTGAATGTGCTGCCTGCTTGAAAGGAAATCAGATATGTTTCTGCTTGATGCCCATCGTTCAACTTCTTGTGGAACATCATCCTCCTTGTGTCGATCATGAGCTTTTGCAAGTAAGGCTTAACTACGTTGCGGCTGTTAAAGAACTATTTTAGCTTATTGAAGAATACGTGGACGACTTCATTCCATATCAAGTGTTGAAGGCACAAATGAGCGGAGAACATCTAGAGGCATCAAACGAAGTTGGTAAAGGCTTTTCTAGCTTTATACCATCATTTATTTAGAGCGCGGAAGACGTCGAATCGGCACATTCGTCTCCAAAGGAACCGGAGCCAATTGAAACATCGCGATTTAATGCTTACACTGAAGAACCTCAACTTGAAAGACTCAAACTCGAAGAATCGTTGATCAAAAGTCTTGACATCCAGAATTTGGGCCACTTGAAGGAAGACAACAAGCAATGTTATGACAAAATGCCCGAGCTTGACGAGTTTGAAGATGAAGAAATCACCTATGAAAGGGACACTTCTTCGGATCAATCACCGGATGAAAACACATTGCCCTCGCTGACGTCTGATCCCAACGAGCAATTGTCTCCAGCAAGTGCTGAGACGCTGTCAATTTCATTCATGAATATTGGTTCGCCCAGGGTCTTTTTCACTGAATCAACAAAAAAGAACACTACTTCAAGTCCATTGTCAAAAGCGGAATCTCATGGGTCGTCGAAGTCTTCTAACAAGGTAGGGACGTTAGACTATTAAACTTTACTTTTTTTCAGATCAGCAAAGCTTTGATCCGAACTCCTATGATGGAAGAAGAAGGTGTTGATTCAGTACCATATACATCTCCACTCCATCAGGTTTTTAAAGGCTTTTACTCTATAGCGCTCAACTTTAGATGCCAGTACCTCTACTTGGTACAAGTTATCAAGAAATTCTGATGGAGATCGAACACCACAACATCACGATGTCCCAACTTCGGGCCTCGTTTGCTGCAAACCTCAGCCGAGCTCATGAAGTGATTAGCCAGGTGATAGTTTTTGTTTAGCTTCTTCAAATAATTGTGTTCCTTAGCAGAAACTACTTACGGATCAGTTGTATCGTGATATAACAACGGTGAATGCAGCCATCGAGAATGAACTCAAAGCCTCTGAAGCACTTACTGCCGTTGTCCGCCCGAGTCTTAATTGCTGGGTTGCGCTTCTTGTGTTGGTGGAACTTTTGCTAATAAAAATTGTCAATTATTTAGATATCATAGCAAGCTTACAAATCTGCTATTGTTGGCTGCCCACTCAAGCGTAAGTTAGGTGGAGCTAATCTTAATCTTTTATTTAGTTAGAACTTCCCGTGACAAATTTGGTATTTCTTCGAGCTGCCACGAAGAAGATCGTTGACCTAAATCCAGGACAAACAGTGGTGTGTCTATCCTGGTTTATTTTAATCGGAAAAACTTTAGAAAGAAAAGTTAGCACTCGCAATTGCCATGCTGGGCGCAGCTCATAAAAAACATGATCTTGGAGAACTAATTCCTACTTTCTTCCGAGATGCTCACAAAATTTCTGTTTACATAATGGTTAGTTTTTTCCTATCATAATGACACTGTTTCTTAGGTAATACGTCTCGAGCAAGTTCTTTCGCGTGTGCAAGCTGATGCAAAAGCCATCGACATTTCGTTGCAAGACGCTTCACGATTGGTGCAAACTGCTCAGGAAACTTTGAAAGCCTTGGAACAAAATGTTGCAGAAAAATACGGTAGGCAAATGCTCGAATATCAACGTAAGTTTTATTTTAGCTGCATTCTTCAATGTTGTTTGCCATATATTACAAGAACGATGGGAAAAGATTAGCGAACCCTTCCCCGATTTCGCCTTCACATCTGCTATTGAACTTTGAACTGTTTAAGCTTTAATGACCGCTTTTCTTATGCAAATGCTAGTTTAGTGCTTTTCGCAAGGTCTTTGTAGTACTTGCTTTCTTATTTATACTTTTTTGTTGTTGTTATTTCACTATTGTTTCGTTGATAAAGGTTTCAAGCCTAAGAACTATTTTAAATTACATGTATTTTAATTTCTAGAAATACCGAAATGGGCGAAAAAGACAGTTTAATAGATGTTTTCTAGTTCGGATGGAGGCCGTTCACGGATTTACCCCACCTCACAACCCAAAGTGTATGTATAATTCTTTTTCTAGCATTCGTAGCTTGTTTAGGTTCATGCAAAACCTGCTTTTCAAATAGATTGGATCTAGAATATCAAAATAAGCGACTGCAAGCATACGAGTATGTGCAAAAAGGAATTTGTTCGACTTACGAAGTACTTCAGACAAACAACATCTATCGAGTATATTCGTGCGACATTTGAGCGTCCGTTCAGAGCTGCCGTCGATCATTGTGCTGACCTCAAAAAAGCCTCAGAGTCTACAAATGTTCACAGGGTACTTTATTTTCAACTGAAAGAATTTGTTTGTTTCTAGAAACGTTATGCCGATTTGTACAAGGGCATGTGCTCTATACTTCAAAAAATGATGAAAAGCCAGGAAGTCAATATAAACAATTTTTTGGATGTACAAGTAATAATTTCATTTTTAACAACTAAAAACTGATATCCAGGAAACAATCAACCATGAGCCTCACATTTTACGGAAACTTCTTGAGCAAGAAAATATGGAAGTGATTACACATTTCAAGATGCAACACTGGCTGAGCCAAAGATGGGAAGCTAGTTTTGCGGATTATTTTTCTCTAGGTAACACTTCAAGCTTTTATTTCCCATATATGAATTGTAGTTCGTTGGCTCATTCTTTGCCTAGCCTGGTTCTTCCCTCCAATGTTTTCGGTGTTTGGCGCTTTTGAATTAGATTTCGCAAAAGCTCTTAGAGTGAGGTGTGTTTTGTCGATTTGCAAAGTTAACTTTGATTTAGATGGAACTCTCATTTGTCTTCTCATTTCTGTTTCTTCATACTTCTATTGCTGAGACTATTTTGGGACGAGAGAGGAACTTCATTGCGTGCAGCGAGATTTAACGATAGTTTGCATGAAATTTGCTTAGGAAATATTTAAAGGTTTAGCCTTTGTGGTGGAGCTGACATTGGGATTGTTTGTGATGTCACATTTAATCATTTTAATGGTTCGACTCTCACATCGTGGCATCAAATCATTTATGAAAGACTGGTGGAATTGGTAAATTTTTAAAACCTATTGAAAGTGTAGATAACCAAATTTAGGGTCGAAATGTGCATAGTAATAAACGGAATCAACTTCTTTGTGGCAAGTTCGAATATTGCATTGCAGAATCAAAACGCTCTGCCAATGAATGTGAATCGACGACATATTGTAAGGGTTACCTACATAATTCTATGCAAAACAAACAAATTAGGTATATCTTATTTTAGCCATCGACTGATCATGTCTACATGTGTGAATTCAGCCTCAGTTTGATGATTCTGCTCATGGTTGTACGATTCGCGTACTTTGTCCAAATGACCTACCGATTTGGAAGACTGATTGTAACTTACCGATTTGGCTTCTTCATATTTTGCTTTAGGTAGCTGTTTCGCAATGCGCAAAAGAATATTTGAGATCATTGTTGGTGTTGTTCATCTTTTTCATGGGATATGCTTTTGCAATCTATGGTGAGAGTTATTTTGTTGGATATAATTAAGTGATGATTTAGGAGTGTTGCACCCATTCGCGACGAAACCCGAGGACCGCCGACACGATTTAACGAAGAACAATGGTTTTCAAGTCTATACCGATGAGTAAGTGTTGAAGATAACTCACCTTTCTTTAATTGTTGTTTTAGCTTTCTTGACACAGCGGCGAATTTATATTGGAATCTTTTATCTCTTGTTGATGAGGGATATGGTCAAATACATGCTGGGTTTACAGGTTTGAGTTTCATTAAAATAAAATTAATTAAAATTTGCTCAAGGACCGAATCAAACACCAGTGCAACCATTCCTATCAATACTCTTCTCAAAGTTTCTGATGGTCTCATTCTATGTGTTTATCGTCGTTGCTCTTTTGAATGTTATCCTCACACTAATGATTATGCAAGCCGAATCTTACAAGGTATAAAAAAGATAATCTTTAAAGTTATTCGTTTAGACAATGGGCGATGAAAATTGGGCATTCGCAAGAACACGGATCATCATTGACTATTTTGTAAGTTTTAATTCTTTTATTTACGGTAAGCTAGCTACATGTTCAAGGGGCTTAAATCCATGTTTTAGAACTACGAGATGGCCGCGCCTCCTCCATTCACGTGTATCATTCTCCTACTTACGACCATTCGAATGATTACAACGCTGGTCAAAAGAATTCTACGAACTAGGAAGATGCGATTCAAAAATTAAAAACATCACCTTTATGGAGAATTCGGTTTGTTTATTTCTGGGCTGAATTGCGTCATGTCATTTTAGTGTCATTTTAGTCGATTTTTACTAACATTTTTAACATGGCATCGTTTAGCTTTGCGATTAATAAATCTTTTTGGGGCTTTTGCAAAAATTTATTTGAAATATCAAAAAATGCGGAAAGACAAAGGAAAAGAAAAACGAGATCAGGGGTAACCAGCGAGAAATAAAAAGTGTTCATAAATTAATTATTTCAGTGCACCTATCAATGATGTACCCCTTAATTGAAAGCTTGAGTGCTTAACTTAAAGGTCTCCTTTAATATTTGGATTGTTCGGGTTTTCGAGATAGTTGTAGAAGCACGAGCGAATCTTGTTGAATTCGGAGAGGCACACCTGAAAACTTGATTATTCTGTTTTAGACTTTAGATCAATCACCATGTATTTCACAGGGTCTGACGGTACTCCATGAGTCGTCTCACAGTACACCATGCAATGAGCATTCACCTGAAAATAGGTTTTTAGTAGTGCAGCTTACTGTTTACAGGGATTACGGTACCTACTGGTAAGATAGGCGTTGTAATGCCGGCAAAACTGTTGTAGTATTATAGTTACCGTAACACCTGCAATAACTGTGCATGACTACCGTAATACTGTGGGTAATTTTGTGAGCGTTGTTAACAAAAGTGAGCACATATTCAAATACCCCTTGTTGTCGACAGCATTCTGTGTGATCAGCCCTACTCGACGCACAATCCCACATCATTCCCACTGTTGGCCCTTTTGGGCTACATTCTGTCAAGTAGCCCAACACCTGAATTTGAGAATTTTTTTTTTTCGTTTTTACTTTAAATGAGAATCAGTTGAGCTTGGCTTTTACTCTGCAAATTCAGTTCATTCTTTACCTGATTTGGCGCAAGGGAATTGAAATCACAGTATTTTCTACGACATTCCCGATCGGCTTGTTTCAACTTTCGGCAGCAAGTTCTCAGCTTTTGGTTGGCCGTTCGTTTACCCGGAATACCGTAGCTGAAAAGGAGTAGAGTCGTAAAGAGTTGGACTGAAATATAACACAAAATACTCACATCTCTTGCTCTCTGGTGAGCGGCGCAAATCCTCCCGCAGTCGGCGCTCTGTTGTTGAATTGCTGAGGGACAAATTGAGATTGTTGAAATTGTTGCTGCTGAGGCTGAGAGCTGGCAAACTGAGCGAATTGCGCGATTTGCTGCTGCGTGAACTGGGGTTGAGCGGTGGCGAGCTGGGTGTTAGGCGTTGGCTCGCGGACACTCCATTGTTGTTGGGGACTGGGTTGAGGTGGGAGATCGCGTGATGGAGTGGAGATGAAACGAGAATGGATTGAGGATTGCGATTGCGAAGGGGAAACGGCCCATTGTGTGGGTGGCTGTTGGCCTTGAGCTGAGGCTTGCGATTGAGCGAGAGACTCGGAGTTTCCTGATTGAAACTGTTGTTGTTGCTGCTGAAAGAAAGCGAGAATGTTAAGTTTTCTCAAAGCATTCAGTTATATTTCTCCCGTTTTCTAAAAAGCACAAAAGAAAATTACAAAATTATTTTCAATAGTCTTGTTGAAGGCAAACTTTGAAGGCAAAGCTTCATTGAGGTGAAAATTTGCAATCAAAGGGTTTCCGAGGATGAGGAATTCGAATCCGTTATTAGTGATTAAAGAAAATTTCTCTATTTTTGGATATTTCATTATAGCTATCGTCTGAAATGGTAGTCAAGCCAGAAATGGCTTTTTTAAGCCAAGCCAATCACAAGCTTTAGCAAATCGGCTTTCGTTAGTGATCGTCAAAACGCAGAACTAACAACTGGTCGATTATTTTGCCATAAAATTTCAGCAACTCTTATTGACTGTACTATAGTACAGTACAGTACAGTACTACAGTACCCATGCTCTTCTTAGGCTACAGCCTAAGAAGAGCATGGGTACATTCAAAAAGACATTATAAAAATTAAATTTTTATGGCACTAATCGATCAGCGTCTCTTTCTTGAACTCACTCTTGCCCTTAACCTATTCGCTCTCTGTTTTTTCAACTTAATTGCAAGACGACGCCGGAGACGACGCTGGAAATGTTTTGGAATGTTTTGGAATAGAAATACACGAAAATTTTCCCAAACTTTTACCCCAGACAGAAAGCTTTTGTACTTTTCGAATACCTGTTGCAATGGGGTCCAGTTTTGGGGTGATTGTTGTGGCTGTTGATTCCATGAGAATTGATTCCACGGTTGCCATTGAGCAACAGCGATAGCAAACAGGATACTGAATAGGAGACACAAAGAGCGCATCTGTAAAAAGCCTTTTTATAGGCTTACTCAGAAACAATATAGTACCGAAATTCACATAAACTCAAAGCTGATTGGGGATTTGAATTATAAAGTGATAAGCGCAAAAGATTGTTTTTGCAAAAGATGAAAAAAATCTCGTTAAAAGGTGATTTTCTAGATGCTAAGTTCATTTGAGACAACAAAATGATACAGATCGAGTGAATGAATTCGTTTTATTAGTAAAAAAAACTAGAATAATTTCATAAATGTCCTCTATCATCCATTCACTCTTTCCTATTCACTTTACACGCTCCAATTGTTTGAAAGAGTTGTGTGGTGGCGATTTATTCACTTCAAAAGAGTTCACTCTTATAAAACCTTGACCTATGAACTTACAGTAACTACCTATAAACTGAAATTACAATAAATAAGAACAAGCCAGATTGTTTAGCTAAAAACTACTAAAACAATAAATAAATATTCAGTGACGAATGTAAAAACGATAAATAAATAAAAAAAAATTCAAATCAGGGAGTGTAATGCTCGATTTTGATGATTTACAAAATCAGTAGCAAGTCAAAATTGACAAGACAATTAAAATTAGGGCAAAAAAATGTGGATGGTTGTTTGATGAAGAAGGGGTTGATGTGTAAAAGAAATTGGAGGGGTGATGATGGCAGTGAAACGAGGAGAAAGAAGCTTTTCAAAGAGAGAAAAGAAAGAAAAGAGAGACCGGATCTGATCTCCGCCTCCTCTATCTTCAACTCCAGCTTTTCTCCTCATCGATACGCCTTTTTTCTAGAAGCTTGTTTTTTTTTTGAGGTGAGACGAGACCTTGGAGATTACTCCTTTCTTCTGCTCAAGAGGAAAAAGTTTAAGTCAGGATTTGCAAGAGAGCAAGATTTTGAGCACTACAAAGAGAGCGTGCTCTTCAACTTTCTAAAAAAACATCTATTTTTTAAAACTACCGTAATCAAACCTTTAGTTTACATTTGATCAGCCGAATTTTTGTCTGATTAATGATAAAGGGATGGTCTGAGATTTGGTGGCAAGAAAGGCCAGCTTGGAGGCTAAGAGGCTCTCAGGTCTCTTAGAGGCTCTTGGAGGCTAAGAGGTCTTTATCGTGCTCGTCGAAATGCGGCAGAGTGGCCTAGTGGGTAGTGCGCTGACGCAGCGATTCCGGAACTGGTCTTTGCTCGCGGGTTCGATTCCGATCCCGGACCTTTTTTGCTTCCTTAAGAAGGATAAAAAGCATGAAGAAAACAAAATTGCTTTGTTACTTTGTTTGAATTACCTGTGAGTCTTGTCATCCAAAATCGAATAATACCAAAATCGGCTATCGAATGGAAACTAACAAGTTGAGTACAGTATTTTTATAGAACAGGTTTTAAAATAGAAACCAGTCACACCGGACCAGTACTGTATTCAAAAACGATACTATTGTGCATTGTATTGTGCATTGTTAATAATAGCTGGACTGCATTTCATTTCAACTTTTCAAAGAGTTCAAAGTGCTTTTCTTATTGATGATTAAGCAATCGACAAATGAGAAAAAAAGCCAGCATGCTTTTCTTCGATTTGACCGCTTTTGGGTGAACTTGTTCTTTTTATAGCTTTCCCTCGAAATAGATAAAAGTGAAAAAAAGAACAAGAAGTGATTGGGAAATGAATCGACGAGTTTATAGAAAAGGATTATTGCGATCAAAATAAAAAGATCAATTGCTAAAGAATTTCACAGGAAATATGTTGATAGAATTGAAAGATAAATAATAAATGAAAAGATAAATAATAAATGAAAGATAGATAATTGAAAGATAGATAATAATAAAGATTTTCGGATTATTCTGTTTTAGCTGAATTTAGGAAATTTTCATGAATTTTTCCACCAAATGAGTAAAACAAATCGAAGTTTTCTCAAGCTTTATTCATAAAATCAAAGTATTCAGGCTAAACTAGAGGAATTATGGTCAACGAAATCTCGGTGTGACTTTCATTTTGATTAGATATCTCTAGAAATTATCTCTGAAACGTCGAGATTTTAGAACTATTCATGAATCGTTCCACCAAATGAGTAAAACAAGTGTAGACTTTGAACTTTGAATTTAAACAAAGTTTAAGTTTGAACTTAAACTTTGTTAACAAGATTCTCGAGTCTCTTTCAAGGCTGGATACAATAAGATTTGAAGGATGAATCTTTAAACAGATTACTGTAATATCTTCTACTGAATGTTTTTCACTTGTCCTGATATTCAGATGTGCTTGATGAGAGAAGGAGAAGTGTCTAAGAGATGATCTCTCATAGTCAACTCTACCGCCTTAAGGGATTCTGGAGTCTCTTGTTCTGTGCTTGATACGAAGTGATTTGAAGGATGAATCTTTAAACAGATTACTGTAATATCTTCTACTGAATGTTTTTCACTTGTCCTGATATTCAGATGTGCTTGATGAGAGAAGGAGAAGTGTTTAAGAGATGATCTCTCATAGTCAACTCTACCACCTTAAGGGATTCTGGAGTCTCTTGTTCTGTGCTTGATATGAAGTGATTTTAAGCATGAATCTTTAAGCAGATTACTGTAATATTTTCTACTGAATGGTCTTCACTTGTTCTAATATTCAGAGGTGCTTGATGAGAGAAGGAGAAGTGTCTAGGAGATGATATCTCATAGTCAACTCTACCGCCTTAAGGGATTCTGGTTGTTCTGTGCTTGATACGAAGTGATTTTAAGCGTGAATCTTCAAACAGATTACTGCAATATCTTTCTAAAAATTTCCTCGCTATGTTTTTATTTTTAGAAGTGGCTGGTGAGAGACCTACCGTAAATACTGTAATTGGACTCCATGAGGTACTATTTTTTCCCTCCCCCTCTAGGGTGGAGTACTATTAGATGGTAGGGTACTATTTTACACCACTATTCAAGTTACCAAATCAGGATACATCCAAAGAATTTACTCAAAAGCAAGCTTTTTCTTTAGTTTTATTCATTTTTAATAATTTGAAAATTGAACAGCAATTAACAGCAGAAACAGCAGAAAATTGAACAGCAAATGAAAACAACTAACAAACGAAATCAATAGAAACATCCGAATCAATGAATTCATCATTTTCTTGATCATCAATTCCTCGATGTCCTTGAAATCCCGTCAATGCGAGCAGCCCCAAGAGATCCTCAATTTCCTTCTCTGCCGTAGCATTTTTTATCGCCTGTAAGGCTTCATCATTTTCTTGATCATCAATTCCTCGATGTCCCCGATGTCAATCGACTAAATATGATAATTAAATCAACAAATCGAATCTGCATCCTGAAGGAATCGGTCCATCCGGCTTGAAACAGTTAATCAAATGATTCTCATCTCCATTTAAGGCATAGGCATAGGCATTGCCGATCCCACAAGGCTTGAATGATTTTCGAATCGCCCCCAGGCTTCCAGGATCCAACCCAAGTAGGTTTCTATTGATGGCCGATATCAAGATTCAATCATCGTATTGCTGGCCAATGTAGGCCTTGAATGGGGCATTCCATGAAACATCGGCTGGTTGAAGAAATTCCGTCGTGCCACCGAAAACATAGGCACAACCCATCTTCAACTTCTCCAGGCATTCCTGGAGTCAATTCGCTTTTGTGGGCTGGGTGTTGATCCCAAACAAGGAGTGATCGCTCCTTTTTATTGAAGAAGCCATGTCCACCGAAAGAGCGTTGCAAGTATTCGGCCGTGATCTCATTATCGAAGCACTTGTTCTTCTTCTCCTTTCAACAGAACAATAAATTCGATTGGTCTTGATTTGGTAACTTTTCTTTTTCTTGATTTGGTAACTTGAATAGTGGTGTAAAATAGTACCCTACCCTCTAATAGTACTCAAATGAAATGCAGTTCAGTTATTATTAACAATGCACAATACTACCGTTTTTGCATACATTACAACTGAGTTTTTGTTTTAAAACTTGTTCTATAAAAATACACCTAAAAAATACTGTACTCAAATTGCTAGTTTCCATTCGATAGCCGATTTTGGTATAATTCGATTTTGGATGACAAGACTCACAGGTAATGGTTCAAACAAAGTAACAAAGCAATTTTGTTTTCTTCATGCTTTTTATCCTTCTTAAGGATAGCAAAAAAAGTCCGGGATCGGAATTGAACCCGCGAGCAAAGACCAGTCCGGATCGCTGCATCAGCGCACTACCCACTGGGCCACTCTGTCGCATTTCGACGAGCACAATAAAGACCTCTTAGCCTCTAAGAGACCTCGACGAGCCTCTTAGCCTCAGCCTCAGCCTCCAAGCTGGCCTTTCTTGCCACCAAATCTCAGACCATCCCTTTATCATTAATCAGACAAAAATTCGGCTGATCAAATGTAAACTAAAGGTTTGATTACGGTAGTTTTAAAAAATAGATGTTTCTTTAGAAAGTTGAAGAGCACACTGCCTTTGTAGTGCTCAAAATCTTGCTCTCTTGCAAATCCTATGCAAATCCTATCTAATGCAAATCCTTGGAATTAGACTTGTGTTTCGGTTGAACCGAAACCGAAACCGAAACCAAACCGAAAAAGAACGTTTCCGGTTCAACAAGTCTAGTTCCAATTACAAGATTTACGGTAGAGAGTATCATCTCTCAAAACACTCCAATACTATGCAGGGACTCTCGAGTCTCATCATTTCTTCTCACATTAAATTAAAAATTCATAGCACTTTCGAATGTTTATCGTTTTTCACCAAATATTCAGTTGTTTGACGGATTGGAAACTCGAAAACATTCTTGTTTTTAGCCTTTTACTGTTGACGTTTCTCAAAGCCTCAAAGCCTCAAAAATTTTTCAATCTGCGTTAATCCACATCCGCTGAAATCATATATTTTGAGGGGTTTTTTTTGATGAATGTCAGAAGAAAATTTTGGTTTCCCTCTAATGGATATTTAATTTTGTGAGATTGATAGAGAAATTTGATGAAATCCGATGGAAATCCTGAGGATTTGCATCACACAAAGGATTATAGAAGGGAATCAAGGGAATCGAGGGAATCAAGG